ACATGTAAATGAGGCCTCTGAATGGTTATTTATACAAAATCAATATAAATTTGAATTGTATCGTTTCTTATTCCAATTATGTGATGGATTATTTGCAGTTATTCTTGATTCATTCTTAAGTATACATTTATTTGTTTATCTGGAGGCCTCATGTAATGTTCTCTGGTTTTGGCGACACAATTGCATGCACACAACAAATGAAGAAAATCAATTTTCTGGATAGAAATGTTAATAATGCTGAGCTTCATTTTTATAGGGGGAGCAGAAATCACCAGGAATCATACCCTTGGCAGTGAAGGATGTGTTTGGAATTATACAAGAGGTGGCAACCACCTCCCATTTTAGTTAGTTTTTCAGTTCTTGACGTCATGGAAGTAATTCTCAACTTTTGAATATCTTTCAATATGTTATATCAGACACCTGGACGGGAGTTCCTCCTCCGAGTATCCTATTTGGAAATCTACAACGAGGTCAGACTCTTTTTCTTTGGCACGTGTTCTTAAGCATTCACGTTGTAGTTGGGACAGAAGGAATACACAAGTGTCATAGATCTTGATTCTGGAATTCCTTGAAAAGGAAAAAGAGGAGAGAAAAATTGCTAAAATTCCTTGCTCTGAACTCACTTGTCTTATTGCACATGTTGACAAAGAAGTGCAGTATTTATTAGCCTCTGATCTTATAGATGCGCCACTTGCTATATACTCATTTGTCTTATTGTACACATCGACTTGTTATTAATTTTACTTTGATGTTATTCATTGACTGAAATTTTTATTTTTTGACTAAAACAATTGGATACTACAGGCGGTAATTCGACTGTAATTTATTATACACAATCAACACAAAATAGATAAACAAAAAAGTCTACATAGAGGAAATATTAATACGTAATTTGTGTCATACCCCTATTGTTGGGAATCGAAGTTCGAACCTCGTAGTCAGGGGGCCTTGCCTCTTGAGCTAGGTTTCGCTGGCCATCAAACTGTATTAATGATATTGACACATTCCACTCTCGTCACTCTGAATGATTACCTTTTTTTTCATTAAATTTATCAAATGTCTTCTTTCGGATCTCACATGACACTTTCTTGTCTTGAAATTTTAGGTCATTAACGATTTGCTTGATCCCACAGGGCAGAATCTAAGAATACGAGAGGACTCTCAGGTACTTGTGAATCTGTATGGTGATTTAGATGTCATGCCTGCATATCCATTATTGGCCTTTGATAAGTCAAGATCATTTGTGTTGCATTTTGTCTTCAAATAATAGATAAAGAAAAAGAAGAAAATTTTAAACTCATTTTGTAGAAATAATTAAAACGTCGTTAAAAGTAAACATGTCTGTCTGTTATGTTTAC